CGGGGGGTGTTCTCTCACGCTGCAAATGCTGGCCTGCCATGCATCGGTGTTCTTACTACATTGCCTTGGGGTGGAAAAATGGCAGCCACGGGTGACAATTTTTTTTGCCAAATTAGAGAAAAAAAATCAGTTCCATTCTATACTTGACAGTAAATTTAAGAAATCAGTAAAAAACAAGCCCCTAAGAAACTAAGGCCACATTCAACTCTCAATAAACTTCCCTTCAGTGGAGTGACGCCCGATTTACACCCGCGTAGCAGACGTGATATGTATTTGGAGAGGTACAGAGTGGAATAAAGACACTGGAGTTAACTTGTTTAGAAACAGCCCTTTCTGCCTAGTTGAAGAGCATTAACATTTGAGCAGACTGGCTACACAACAGGACAGTCAGTGATCTGCACAGTGAGACCAAGTCACCGAACGGGTTCTCGGGGCTCTATCACATTGAAAACACACCATTCCTGACACAGGTTGGAAGCTCACAGTCCACTTCCAGCTGGGTAGCTATCCACGTCCCCAAATCACCACCACAACTGGCACCCCTTGATAGCAGGCACTCCCTGCAGAAAGGGACTTGGAGATGGAACTAAACTGTAGGCCTGATCCTGCTTGCTTTGAGGTCAAAGGTAAAACTTCCCTAGACTTTAGTGTGAGACAGCATAAGTCCTGGGACTGTTCCAGTTACACCCTGCAGTGCAGCTGCCTGTGTTGTACTTAGTCACTGGGGACCAAATCCCGAGAAGGCCTGAGTACCTGCAAGTCTCATAGACTTTGCTGGCTCTACATTCACCTCACAGGGTTTGGCCCTGCTTAGGGGACTTCAGTCTTCAGGGAACCTTTCACCTACAGAATTGCTTAAGGGGAAAACCAATCAGCCATTTTGGGTGGGGTTATGGGTAGCTTGGGGCTCTAGGAATGGAATATTGAGTCGTCTACTTCTAGGTCACTAGACAAGCCTGCCATGCCCCTGCACGTGCTGTATCTGTGCTGTGCAGTCATCTCACAGGGCCTTCAGTCACCTTTCCCTGGTAATAAAACTCACTCAAGCCCACTACCATTACCTCCCAGGCCCCCCCAGCTCTATGTAAACAAGCGTGCCATATACATCTGATTGACAGATTGCCTGACATCGACGACAAGTAATATATATATATACATACACACCACCATTCCAATCATTCACCTTTCAAACTACAGGGATCCCAGTGCTGTTGTGGTACCGTATAACTGGGTGGGAGGGGAGCCTCTCGCTGAGTCTCACCAATCCATTCTAATCTCTGCATCTCTAGACAGGGGCTGTTCAGTGGCTCTGTCCGTGTGTTGGTCACCAACACTGGGCTGTGAACTGTTGGCAGCTTTTCGGTCTCAGCAGAGCCAAGCCGACTTGTGTGTTTCTGCCGTTCTGCTAATGAGCCTTTCTTGGCATTTCCCACCCTGTGACTGATTTCTGTGTACAATCTGCTTTCCTCCTTGTTCATCCTCCCTAAATAAAGTCCTTCTTCCTGGTTGATGTGGCTCGTTACTGACCTTTGATCCATAAAGGTAATACGGCTGGACGTTGGCTGGCTTGTCTCTCTGTGGTTCCTGGGTGAATGGAATCGCTGTCCGTACAAACCTGTGGGGAGTGTGGGGAGGAAAAGACGGGGCCTGTTAATTGCATTTCAGTCCAGCCACACTGTTTGTTACATGCAAACCCTGAATTGTTCTTTCAAAGCTTAGCAGAGCAGAGAGGTTAAAGCTTATCTCTAAAATGCAATGGTGCATCACATGGGAAATGAAAACACTACTGCCCTGGTGCCGAGTGGAAACCTGCTGTTGTCAGCGTGGATCGTGTGCGTTTTGTGTGGCGGGTGTGGGGGCGGTGAGTTACGTCCAGTTTTGAAACAGAGCCTCCACATGCCCTTGCTTGTTATTTTTTCTTACCGGTTGGTGGAGCCATTGTAGCAGTAGTTGGGTAGAAAGTCAAAGTTTAGCTCCCAGAAGACGTGCAGGGTGATGCGTCCATAAGGGGCAGAGACGTTGTGATTGGCCTCTCGGAACATGGCATCAAAACTGTCCAAAGTCATGTGCTTACACAGCAGCCGGTGTGTCAGACGATTTATCTCCAAGAGCCACTCCAGCTCCTGCACCAGACAAAGCAACAGCAGCAGATTTTATGTGTTATCAAGATCATAATAGAAGTCTTATTCAATCAGGATGGAGATGATTATGCACACACACACACACACACACACGGTCTTCCAGGTGAGGATGAATCAAATATTAAAGACATTGGTTGAACTCAAAAGGCCAAGGGCATTTGCACTTGCACTCCAGGGGTCCCATTCTACCATTTCCCTTCCTACAGGTGGTGAAAAGCCGTTGTTCCCCACGGAGCACATCCTTGCTAGAATAACACCTTTCACATCAGAATCCCTGACATGTGGAAACGGATAATTATACACTCCTCGACTCTGATAGCCCTGCAATGTATCAGTGGCTGTGAACCATATGCACACACTGGAATGTGTTACCTAGGGAGGTGGTGGAATCTCCTTCCTTGGAGGTTTTTAAGGCCCGGCTTGACAAAGCCCTGGCTGGGATGATTTAGCTGGGAATTGGTCCTGCTTTGAGCAGGGGGTTGGACTAGATGACCTCTTGAGGTCCCTTCCAACTCTGATATTCTATTCTATGATTCTATGATTCTATGGCGATCCAGAGTTTAGCCACATGGATGCAGTGGGGGGAATTAAACTCAGGACTTTCTTCTCCCAAATCACAGGACTCTACCATCTGTGCTCTATGAAGATCCCCCACTATGAAACTCCCAAATATAGTCCCTTTGTGGATGATGGGAGCCCTAGAAATACCGAAGATAGGACAGAAAGAAGAGAATTCACAGATGGGTAGAAAACTACTGTCTATGTGATTTCAATGCAGTAGTGGATAATGGTGTATATACATACGATGTCAGTGTATCATACTCTCAGATTTTCTACAGCCCTTTCAAACAATCACTGAGCTTACCACAATGGAGGTCAGGTCTTCACTCTCAAAGCGGCTAATGGCCTGGTCTAACGATTTGTACATTGCAGCTGAAATACGCTGAGTTATGAGCCTGTTCAGGTCAATTGATCTACCCAGCAGCTGTGGACAAGAGGAAAAGATACTAGTGGGAAAAGGGAGAGATGGATCCAAACTAGAGCCACAGAGCCAAACCAGCTGGAAGGTGGAGAAAGTTCTGATAAAAGCATACGAACATAAGAATGGCCGTACTGGGTCAGACCAAAGGTCTGTCCAGCTGAGTATCCTGTCTACCGACAGTGGCCAATGCCAGGTGCCCCAGAGGGAGTGAACCTAACAGGTAATGATCAAGTGAT